AACTACAACTTGCAAGTTAAGTACACTCCTGTGAACTACAACTTGCAAATTAATTATACCCCTGTGAATTCAAACAGCATCAGGACCAAAGAAAGGTAGACACACAGACTGACCCCAAAAGGACTTGGAGGTAGGAAAGATGTTTAAGAACACACTTAAACTAAGTTATCTGTACGCATCAAATTAAATTGATCTGGGGTGGGGGCAGTGGAGAAAGATGGTTTCCTGTCAGAAGGTCTCAGAGAACATCAGCCTTTTTTGTTGTTAATGGATGCAGATGTTTGTACAATCGTTAAGGTGGTAATACTGTGAAAAGGTAATGGTTCGCAGGAATTTTGGGTTAGGTACCCTTTGAGGATGTGAGGTCTGGTAGTTGCAGAAATGGTGCATGGGAAGACTGGGATGCTTTTAATTTGAGTGTGGACAGGTTTTAGTCACTCTTCAGGTGCCTTGCAAGAAAGGAAAAAGAAGAACGGGAGAAAAAATCAGTACCAAGCGGAGCTGGGAAATGGAACACTGGATGAGGTCTACAAAGACAGCTTTACTCAGAATTTTGTTCCCACTTTGCAAAGAAATTGAAAAGTGGAGAGGATTTGACGTGCACCCTTTTAATACTTGTGACATCCTAAACAATCCCTTATAACAACTATTCTTGGTGTTCACATTGTATTAGATCTGAGTCGTTATCTGGAGATGACTTAATATATACCAGCATTTCACGAAGAGATATTCATAGGTGTCTGTATCAAGGGTTCTGGAATGAGGAACAGCTGTTCCAGCATTCGGTAGCTTTGTCTTTAAGGGCACTGACTTAGTCTAGAACTCTCAAGTTCTAGTGCTAGGATATGAGAAGCTTATTTGAAATGCAGACTCCCAGACTCCATTGTAAGATTCTGATTTATTATGTTGGAGTCTAGGAATCTGCACTGTTAGCAAGTGACTCATTTGATTTAGAATCAGCGGTTCTTAGAATATAGTTATTGCTTTAGTCTCTTCCAAAGTTAGCAAGTCAACAAATTAGAGGCTTTACCGGTAAGACAGAAACAGAATAAATATTCTTATTTTTTATGTTATATCCACATTTATGTATGGGTCCCTCACATGAGAAAGAACATAGAATATTTGTCCCCTTGTAATTGCTTCCTTATTATCCCTTAGAGTGTTCCTTTCTCATCTGCTCATTTATTTATTTACTTATTTGTTTATTTATGCTCCAGTTTACACTGGCATCCTTTGACCTATTAACTGAAGACCCTTGATGTGATCTGGAATTACAGAGCTAATAGAAGCCACATTATCACAAACTATAGATCTGACTTCTCCAACAAAAGCCTAAGAGAAACTGCCCGAGCCTGCCTTACATACAGGAGGGACAACGGGGAGAAACAGGTGGGGAGGGACAGGCGAGGGCTATTTGAAAAATAATCTTCCTCTGAAAGTTTCCCTCTGTGATTTGAAGACTGAGAAACTTTTTTCCAGATGCAACGGAAGAGCCACAAGGTTTCTTAGCAGTGTGCACTATAGTTAAATATGTTGCCAATGAAAATACATTTCATATTACAATACTCATATACATCCAGTGCATGCACTGACAAACACGCACACACACTCAGAGCATGTGTGTCTTTGTGTGCATATATATAAGAAATATATAAGAAAGGGAATTAATCTTTTTATTTTTAAAATTTTATAGTGTCCATTAATACTATACCTAAACTTTTATAGTGTCTACTAATACGTGGTTCTGTTAAATTAGGTCATTTTCATATAAGAATATATTGTACATTGAACACTTTCCTCCATCCTCCTCACCTGACCATTTCTCACTCCTCCTCCATCACACTGGTCCTCTCTCTAGTTTCTCCTTTACTGTCATGTCATAAAAAATACACACACAATTCTACATACCTCTACGAAAACGAGGAGCCAAACTATCTGATGTTTGTCTCTCTGAGACTGGCTTATTCACTTCATATGACTGTCCCCAGCTGTAGCCCCACATGTAAATAATACTCATTTTACAAAGCATCACTTACTTTTACCAGGAGCAATGCGTCTACTTTCTGTTAGGGCCTTTCCTTTCTTTTCCCTTTCTTATCCTCTTGTCCCGGTTTTTTCTCTCTCTTTTCCTTGATGTCAGTCATGGCATGACAAGTGGTTTTGCTGTTTGAAGAAGGCTGAGATCAGGGTCTTTACTACCTCAACAAATTCGAGTAGGACAGAAGAAAAAAAAAGGGAGTAAAAATATAATTAAAGTTTGATCTTTAATTTTCTCTTCCTTCTCCTTCAGACAGGAGTTCCCTTCATTCATCCATCATCTATCTGAGCCCATGAAGTATCTGCATCCTGTTGAGAAGCTTTTGCTGTCGTAGAGGTTGATCATCCAGAGAAGCATTAGAAAGGCTCTTTGAAATACACAGAAAGGCAAGGGAGTGCTTGCCTCTTACCAGGGCGATCTCCTCTGCTGCCCCACACTTGGCAAGTTCCGCCCCCTTTATCTCTTAACCTGGAATTCTAGCTGCCTACCAGATCATTCTCTTTGCCTCCTCCTCTTACTTTCTCCCTCATTTCACCAATCTTGAAGGGTAATAAAGGGATAAGATGTGGTGGTGAGAAGGGTAGGCAGTTCCCTTGTCCTACTTAGGCAGGTGCAGGCCAAACCACTGTCAATTTCTACTGAAGTTGTTATTTTCAGCAGTTGTAAATGAACTAAGAGATTCGAACACTCAAGGTTTTTCGTAATCAGCTTTTCAAAAATTAGATTTATTCACTTTATGTTAGGTGTGAATGTTTTGCCTGTGTGTGGTGTGTGTGTGTGTATGCCTGATGACCTTGAAGGCAGAAAAGGGCATCAAATCCCCTGGATCTGGTGTTATAGATGGTGCTTGGAATCAAACCTGGGTCCTTTGTAAGAGCAACCAGTGCTCTTAACTGCTGAGCCATCTCTCCAGCCCCACAACTAGCTTTCCAGCTAACAAGCTCCAATTTCATTGTAACTGTTCTATTGTGTGCACTTCATGGTAACCATGATTTTGCTTACTACTCTTCACTAAGCATTTGGTTTTTAAAAATATTAATGAAAATAAAAACAACTTTGTGAGTCAATTTTTATTAACCGAGGGGAAATTTTACTGTATCCCTAACTGGGACACCTTTAAGTCTCCATAAAGAAAATCGACAGGGCTGAGGATAGCTCAGTGGTAAAGTACTTGCCTAGCCAGTCAGCACCCTCGGTTGAAGCACCATTATGACAAAAGAAGAGAAAAGCACAGTTGAACCCAGAATACATTCTTATGTTACCCAACATCTTTCCCACACAGTTTACTAAAAATATCTTTCCTGGAATTTAATAAATAAATAATAAATAACTTTCTTCTTCAGCTGCCAGGCATTTGGCAAATTAGCTCTCTTCTAAGACCTATTCATTATAAATATTAGTTGCATGGTGAAATTAAGAACCTCTAGGTTTTCATGCAGCTCTACAGCGATGAATTGGTCTTATCTTAGTTCTTTTGAATATAATGTCATCCACTGAATTTCTGAGGGCAAGGAATGCATCAAAGACAATGGAGATCATTGAGTCCAAAGGGAGACTCTACTAAAGATGAGGAACCGAGAGGACTAAGAAAATAAAAACAGCAGGGCATTGAAGCTCACCAAATAGCGACAGAATAGACAAAGATTCACCACGCGTTTGTAAAAATGCACCCAAAAGAGAAAGTCATTCATTACCTCAAGTTTGCAGAGATAATTCACTTACTCTAAAGAGCAGTAAAGAAAAGGTGAGGTAGGTATTAAATGATGATGACTTTGTTTGATACTCACACACAGCCTCTGTGGGAGCAAAGTAAATCTCATTTTATGTAATTTTAAGGCTGCCGTGTGACTTTTGCCTTGTTGAAGATTCTCAGGTTAACCCTGCTTAGTTTAGTTTGCTTTTCCTGTAGTTTCCTATGAATGAATAAACTCCGTCCACTGTCTCGTGTTGACGTTCATGTAGCATTTGATCAGGGACAGCGCATTTCTTTCGTTGCAGAGTAATATTCCACTGTGCAGAGTTTTCAGGCCATTCCCTAACGTTTCCCCTGCAGCTGTTGAAATGATCCCATTCCTCATTATAGCAATGGGCTGATCACCCTGACTGATTTTCAGTTGTTGAACAAATTCTGTGTTCCCAGGGTCAACTGTTCCCCTGGGTTCGTGCTGTCTTTTTCAGTGTTGCTGAATTTGACTTGCTAAAATTTTGTGCCTGTCCTTGTGCCTATGTCTATGAAAGGTGTTGACCTAAACTCAATCTTTCTCTCGCTTTCTCTTTCTCTCTCTCTTTTCCTCTCTCTCTCGCCATCAGGATAAAACTTGTCTTATAAAATAAATTCAGATATGTATTTTGCAATTCTTTGCAGAACTTTGAGAAAATTACACTATACATAAAAGGTAACTTGGCAGCTGTCATTTAAATGTACATACTTATAATTTATTCCTGCCTTTTTCGAGTTCCCCTTAATTTCCACAACAAACAGACATCCATTTTCCCATATAGCTGAGGCTTTTTTTTTCTTTCTAGAGGTGGGACTGAGACCTTTAGGAACTGTTAGACTCTATGAACAGAGGGGCTTCCTACACCTGTACAGATCTACGCCGCGAACGCCCATTACAAGCTTTTATGAGTAACAAATGTGCAAAGTAGACCGTGTCCCCTTTACGTTATGAAGTTAATATGTCAATGCTTAACTTCTTTTCCTTGAAGGTGCACATTGCCCTAATCCCAAAGAAGGCCCGGGAAACAATGAAACTCCAGGAGACTGTGGCCCGAAGGATACTAGTTGAACTGGGCATGCTCAGTCTCCAGGCAGATTTTTTTTTTTTTCTCTTCCCAGTGAAGTGGAAACTACAACTGCGCGTACCGGGTGAACGGGGGTGGGCGTGCCCTCGTGGAATTTAGAACGTTCCCTCAGCCAATGGGGCCTCGCGGCCGGCTGGCGGGGCTCGCCATTGGGGGACTGGGATGCGAGCGAGTGGAGCGCCTGCGGGAGGAAGCGGAGGTGCAGGTCGGAAACGCCGGGCTAGCCGAGCCCATCGCGGGAGCAGCGGCGGCGGTCAGGCACCATCCAGCGGCGCGCCAGGTGGCCCAGCCCGTAGCTTTACTTTTTGCCACACCGACGTAGTCATTATGCCGAAGAGAAAGGTAAGTCCTGCCGGAAATAAAAACTGCCCGCAGGCCCTCGAGTGTGCTCAGAGTCAATGCCCCCTGTGCTGCGATGGACGCGCCTGTGCGCACAGTAACTCGGGCACTGGGCACCGCCGCTGCCCGCTCCTTCCCTTCTGCAGATGCCTGTTGCAGACCTCGCACCGAGCTCCGAGCGTTACTTTCCCTCCAGGGACGTGTCCTCCCCCTCTCCATCAACTCTTGGTCGGAATGGTTTCCACCTCTTGCCAGCAGCAGCCAGAGAGGGTGTCCATCCCCCTTCGCCGGAGTTTCCTCTTGGCAAACTCCGGCTTGTTGTCAGGGTGGAGGGGAGGCAGTGAGAGGAGTCTCCTGGGCCAGGAAAGTCGAAAACCGGGGGGGCAGGCAGGGGGGCCGGGGGGGGGGGGGGGGGCCCCCCCCCCCCCCCGGGCCGTGCCCAGGGAGGGCGCGATGCAGGCGGAAGGCCGGGAGAGGGAAAGCCATGTTTCCCTACGCCAGCCCTGCTGCGCCGCGGACCCGTATGTACCCACTCCGGTGTCAATCACCCCGCGCGAGGGCGGGCGGGGCAGTGCGCAGCGCCTGGTGGGTGGCGAGGAAACGGACTGGTGCCGAGCACGGCCGACCCCGCCAAGGTCAGGGGCCACCAAGCCCGGGCCACTATGCCACCCACCACCCCACGCTTGGCCGGGCAGGGAGCCGGAGTCATTTTGGTCGCTCTTTGCCTCTTGTGGGTTGTGTCCCCTCCCCGCAGGGACATCACGAGCCACACGTGGGCTCATACAGCTCTGTCAGGGTGGGGCTTCGACTTGTCATTGGACTGGTAAAGGAAGGGCAGATGATTTGTTTACCCCTCGCTGTGAGAACCGATGTGTGCAGACTGCTTCTTACGAGAAAAAAAAAAAAACAAAAAAAAAAACAAAAAAAAAAAAAACCCCACAAAAACAAATAAAACCTTCTCACTACCTGCCCAAAGGAGCCAAGTCAACCAGTGTGGCCGTTAAAGTTGAAACTTGATTCAGATAATGCCCCGCTTTGCCCCAAGACTGTGCACTCTGTGTGTGTGTGTGTGTGTGTGTGTGTGTGTGGTTGCATTATTTAAAACTATCGAGGCTTTAAAATTTTAGCAGCTTTTGCTTTCTTGTCTGTCGTCACGAAGCGTTTGATTGTAAACCCCTCCACTCCTTTTTAAATTTACTTTTATTACATTTATTTATTTTGTGTATTCGTGGGAGGCGCTGGCCATCCACGTTGCAGTAGTAGATTCTCTCCTGCCGTGTGGGTTGTGGGTTGTGGGAATCCAAGTGTCTTTACTCCTTGAGCCATCTCCATTCTTTAAAATAAAATCAGTGCTATTCATTAGAAGGGGTTCTCCTAGTGTTTACTGTGAACCTACTGTGTGCCTCATGCTGGGTGGAGTCGAGTGTGCTTTATCTCATGCAATCTTCATAACCGCAGAACTATTTTAGACTCATTGAGCAGGGTCTGAAGCTGTGTTGCCCAACATTTCATTAACTATTGGTTTATAGTGGAGCTGCTGTCCTCCCGAAGGCCACCGCTGTTAACTCTTTCTCTTCCTTTGGAGATGGATTGGGACAGGAGGAATTTTAGGAAATCCAGAGCCTTGTAGTTGGAGAGGCTCAGAGCGTGTTGGGAGTAGGAGCCCTTGAGACTCGTTGTTCAAGCGTCATTTGATGGCGGCATTGTTTTTCCAGTGCTGTTGTACTGGAATGATGTCACTGTTTGCAGCCTTTTATGTGAGGTTAGTGACGAGTTGGGAATTCTAGCAGAATCAGAGGAACTAATTATCGAGAAATGAGTTACAGAGGGAGTCAAGGCTACCTCTTTCCCTGGAAATTATTAACCTGTTTGGATAAGCAGCAGGTCACATGCTCCCTTTATGTGTAATGGCTCCTGGGTTTGGTGGAACTTTTCCTTGATCAAGGACCACTGCTGGCGAAAGCTTCGCTCTGTCACTGTCCACCTCTAAAGGGGAAGAAGGGAAGAAAGGCGTGGAGAAGAAAGTGGCTGTATGTTTTAATTCTCTGAAAGGCGGGGACTATGTATGGAGTTAGCAGTCCTTTAACTAGGGGCAAACCTGTGTACACACATCTGTGTGGGGTCCTTCGGGACATCTGAGAAAGCCTCTTCGATTAACAGGAAGTCTTTTTACTGACATCTTGAGGCCAAACACCTGGGCAGGAACAGCCACAGATTGCACGGCTGTGACGGCCATCCACCTAGCAGTCCTGGTAGTCAAACCATAGAGCTGCCTGGTGAGGTCTTGGAGTTCCTTGGAAGTGACATTGGAAACCACTGTCCCCAGTGAAACCTGCACAGCTGTGCGAGAAAGGAACTGGAGACAATCCATGCATAGTCCTTAGAGGTCTGTCCAGCCAGGTAATTGCTGAAGGATTTACATACTATACTACTTAATTTCCTTAACTGAAGAACTACCTGTTCTGCTTTGTAAACTAAATTGTAACACGCGCGCGCGTGCACACACACACACACACACACACACACACAGAGAGAGGGGAGAGAGGAATGCAAGCATAGGGGCAGGGGTGAAAGTCAGAGGTCCAAGTTGGCTGTCTACCTCTATTGCTCTCCACATTATTTTTTGAGTCAGGGTCTTTCATTCAGCCTAGAATTCATTGATTTGGTTGAACTGACTATCTCTACCTCTCCAGCATGAGGCTGAAAGACACACAGACACCTGGCTTTTGTATGAGTGCCAGGGATCAAATTCAGGTCCTTAAGCTTGAGGGGCAAACTCTTCACCCACTGAGCCATCTCCCTAACCCGGTAATCAGCTTGCAAAGTACCCACTCCATATTTTCCTTGCCGTCTCTGCTCCTTGTTTCATAGAAATGTTCCTTAATGAACTCCCAGGTCCTGCCGAGCAAGAAGTGGTACTAATAAAGTCAGGAAACCTCTGAAGACCTAGCACTGTTTAAATACTGTAGGGACACAGTTTGTTCCCTGGGAGCTTATATTTAATTCAGTGAAGCGATAAGATTAGCAGACAAAAAAGAAAAGTCGACTGACATTTGGGTTTATACAGATTATGGAATGTGCTGTGCAGATCCAAAGACCCTAGGAAAGATAAGAACATGGGTTGAATTTGTGCTGGCTGATCTTGAAAAAAAAAAAATGTGGGTAGGACTCAAGGAAAAAGTCAGAATCATTTTCTGTAACCAGGCGTTTGGATGCCTCTTCGTATTATGTTCTAACATTAGTCCTCAGCTACAAGCTTCAAGGACACAGTATCATCCATATTATTGTAAATTCTTCTCAAGACACCTCTGTGTAAGTTTTATATGTTTGTTTATGTTTACCAGTACAGTAAGCCATTAAGTCATTTTTAAATGACTGCTGTTTATTTGTTAAAGCAGTGCAGCACTTAACATTGTAATGTCTTTCTACGATTTAAATAAAGTTGTTTTCTGTATTGTCTAATGGATGGTGAGCGGGTGAAATCTCACAGACTCAGGTGGTGGGATAATGACTGACCAAGTTCTAGACTGTTCTGCTCAAACATTTACAAACGCCAGCAGCAGTCAGTACCAGCAAGGCCTGGATTGAGTCCTGGCCTGGTCAGCAAACATATTTTCACACCCTTTTTATGTTTCCAATTCCTTATCCCCAGAATCGCTGTGTCTAGCACATCATGCCAGAAACTGTCCAGTAGAACAATGTCTACAAAATAGACGTGGAGTACAGGGTGGTCTTGTTCTAGTTAGAGACTCAAGAAAGAAAAATCTACCTATTTCTTACTTTGTCTAACAACTGTAGGAGTTCCCTGGTAGAATTTTGGGGGTCGATATGTACACCCATATCATCTGCAAATAGTGATACTTTGGCTTCCTCCTTTCCAATTTGAATCTTCTTGATCTCTTTTATTTGTCTTACTGCTCTCTCTAGAACTTCAGGTACTATATTGAATAGATATGGAGAGTGAAAAATCTTGTCTTCTTCTGATTTTAGTGGAATTGTTCCCCACTAACTTGATGTTGACTATAGGTTTACTATAAATTACGTTTATTATATTTAGGCATGTCCCTTACATCTCTGATCTCTCTAAGACTTTTATCATGAAGGGGTGTTAGATTTTGTCAAAGGCCTTTTCAGTGTATAATGAGATGATCATGTGGTTTTCTTCTTTCAGCTTGTTTATATGGCGGATTACATTTACTGATTTTTCTTATGTTGAACCATCCTTGCTTCTCTGGGATGAAGCCTACTTGATCATGACAGATAATCTTTCTGATCTGTTTTTCGATTTTGTTTTTGTTTTTGTTTTCTTCTCAAGTATTTTATTGAGTATTGTTGTATCTATCTTCATAAGGAAAATTGGTCTCTAATGCTCTCTCTTTGTTGAGTCTTTTATGTGGTTTGGGTATCAGGGTAACTGTAACCTCATAAAATGAATTAGGTAATGAACCTTTTGTTTCTATTTTATGGAGTAACTGGAAGAGTATTGGTGTTAACTCTCTTTGAAATTCTGGCAGAATTCTGTGCTAAAACAGTCTGACCCTGGATTCCTTGGGTTGGGAGACTTTTAATGACTACTTCTATTTTTAGGGGTTGTAGGTCTATTTAAATTGTTTATCTAGGGGGGGCATAGGGGGAAAGAGAGGGAGGGTAGGACTGGGAGGAGACAAGGTAGAGGGCTACATCCAGGATACAAAGTGAATAAATTGTAATAAATAATAAATTAAAAATAAATTGTTTATCTGATCTTGATTTAACTTTGGTAAGTGGTACCTATCAAGAAAACGATCTCTAATTTAGGTTTTCCAATTTTGCGGAGTACAGGTTTTTAAAGAATGTCATTATGATCCTCTGGATTTCCTCAGTGTCTGTTCTTTTGTCCCGTTTTCATTTCTGATTTTATAATTTGATTTTTTTTCTTTGTCTTTTAGTTAGTTTGGGTAAGGGTTTGTCCATCTTGGTAATTTTCTAAAAGAACCAACCATTTGTTTAATTGATTCCTTGTG